CCCTGCCGCCATTCATCATCAATGATATTGCTCAAGATTTGATTCTCTATATACCATCATTAACTTTTTATATATATATATAAAATAAAGGGTGCCTATTATAAAATAATATTAATATATGTGATTTTTTACTCTCTATTTTTAGTAAATCATTATATTTCTTAAATATTAAAAAAATAATATTTTTTTAAATAACTATTCATAATTATCTATTTTTTATTTTTATATTTTAAAAATTTAAGAGATACAAAATGTTTCTTTTTTCTACTAATATATATAAAGTCAGTTTTTCCTACGTGGGTCCATCACAGTTTTAAATCTTAAGTTGATTTTGTCTCTATACTACAAAGAGATTTGAGAATCTATATCATATGTGAAAGATATTGTTTGACACCTTTATCATGCAAATGTCATTTGGTAATAATTAACACATTTTTTAATTATATTATCCGTATTTTTAAATTCTTAAAACAATTATCTGTTATATTTTTATTGTTTATATCCTTTAAATATTATAACTTCTCAAAGTTTTTTCCCATCATATATCATTACAAATTTTTTCTTTTTCTCGCACTATTTTTGCCTTTTTCTCTCATATTTATATTATTATTTATCATTAAATATATACTATGTATATTAGCCTTTTCTCTTATTTTATTAATTTTTCTAAAAATAAATCAAATAATAAGAAAAATATATACATATATGAAGAACAACCTAAGAAAACGTCATAATGTTGGGAATCCGGATGTTTTTATCTTAAAAAACAAAAGACACATATTAATTAGAACTATGTTTTCCAAAAAAAAAAAAAATCTTGAATGTGGTATATTTATACAAAAATCTAAGGAACATGGCAAAAAGGATGGATCTATCATAGATAAATCATAAATGTAAAGAAAAAAGGTATTAACTTAAAAAATAAAAAGGAAAATAAAAACCCAAATTTTAGGGATAAATTACTAAAAATAGAAATATTAATAAATCGCATATACATTTGTTTTTTGGTAACAATGATAAATGTAGCACATGACATTTTGCTTCTATTTACTATATTTCTATAATCAAATAAAGAAGCAACCAACTCATTGATCGCTATTTTGTGTCGTGGCTTGACTTTTAGAGATACCACATTAGAGCACATGGGTGCTGTTCCATACATTTCTAATAACTATATGCTATCCCACCTTAACATAAATGCAACTAAAAATAACAGAAACTCGTCATCATAAATTTTATGAATAATCTATGATAATATATGTATATATATAAGAAATACTCTTTTTTCCATTTTTTTAAAGATAATTATGTTCTTTTTTATTGTATTTTATTTTTCTATTAATATATATTTAAGAATAAAATATATGTATATGTATATATATAATTATTCTCTTTAAAAATAATAATTGTTCAGTAATTTATTTTATTTTTCACGGAATGCTTTTTTTCATGTTAGTATATATAATATAAAAAAGATTTTAATAACGCTGCTATAATCTGTATTTATGCGTGAGTGTGATAA